TTATTCAACTATTTACCTACCTGAGTCAGAGAATATATCTGTATCTATATCTACCTCTATATCTGTATCTATCTCTATCTCTATCTCTATCTCTATCTCTATCTCTGTCTCTGTCTCTATCTCTATCTCTATCTCTATCTCTATCTCTATCTCTATCTCTATCTCTATCTCTATCTCTATCTCTATCTATACATACATCTACATTCTGTCTTTATGAAGCTTAACAATGAAGTAAAGCTACCTAAATGAAATGTGTTTCTATCTCATCCATATGTTAGCTGTTGTACTACCCTGGGAAAGTACAATGACCAGATTTTTCCTTCACAAAACTTAGGGTTTTATTGAATCCATGGGAATCTGAAATACCTGGATTACAATGTAAAATTCCATAAACTGCATGACTAACTTTCCCAGTGGCAAATATACAGAATATGTGCCAAAATGCAAATGCTTCGAGTCTTCCGTGTGAATGAGAGACCTCTCACTAAACCAGGCCTTCCTAAGCCACTTCTATCCCCTAAATAAAATCAGTGTGTGTTTCTGATTATACACATAATTTATTACATGTTTGTATTCATTCAAAATTTTAAATCATGCATAAAACTGTAAAAATTAAAATAAAATTTAATAAACTAACTTAGAACATGGCGATTCAGAGGCAAATCTAAAATAGGAACCTGAGAGTCTATATTTTAAAAACTTTTTTTTTTCTTTATTGACTATAGTGATAGGAAGGGAGAGGAATATATAGAAACATTAATGAACAAGAACATCGACTGGCTGCCTCCTGCATGCCCCCAACCTGGGATTTGGCCCACAGCCTGAGCATGTGCCCTGACAGGGAATCGAACAGGTCACCTCTTCGTGCAGGGGTCTATGCTCAACCACTGAACAACACCACCAGACTGGGAGTCTATATTTTATTTCATTATTTTTTTAAATATTTTTTTCTTTATTAATTTTAGAGAGAGAGGAAGCGGGGAGAGAGAGTGAGAAACATCAATGAGAGAGAAGATCGATTAGCCGCCTCCTGCATGCCCCTCACTGGGGGTTTGGCCCACAACCTGGGCAAGTGCCCTGATTGTGAATTGAACTAGTGACCTCTTGGTGTGGGGATCGATGCTCAATCAGTGAGCCACACAGGCCAGGCTGGGAGTCTATATTTTTAAAGAACTCAAGTTCACCCTAGTGTGTCTGGACACACACACACACACACACACACACACACCAGAGTAAGAACCACTGATCAAAACATTCTATGACTGAGGTTCTCAAATTTTAATAAGTATATGAGTCACTTGAAGATCTCATTAAAATAAAAGTTCTGATTCAGGAGTCCGGGTGGGGCCCAATTTTCCGAATTTCTAGTAATTTCCAGGAGATTCTATTTGGCTGTCCAAAGCTCTCGGCCAGACAGCTTTCTGATAATGTTTTAAAATCTCTCAAAAAGGAAAGCTTTGGAACATTTCTGGCACAATCTTTCAGAAATTGTTACTCAAACTATAAAAAAATGTTTCCATCATGATAAGGTAATTTAAGAGTAATTTCTATTTTTGTTCTTTCTCTTTATTCGATTATTTTTTAAATTAACGGATCCAAGGAGGAGTAATTACTTCTAAAGGCTATTTATTTAAATAGGTGCCTTTAGCTGGAAGTTTGAATTCATGTTTGCTCTTAGCCTGCTCAACGGTTAAGTCATTTTTTTCCTGAATCTTTATCAATCTGTTTCTACCCTGTCGTTACAGTTCTATACAAAGCCTTACCTATTGGTCAGATCTCATTACCCCTCGGTGGTTCACCTATAAATGTGCATGTTTTTTGACTCCAAAGAATTATATAGAGAGAAACAGCCAACATTGAATGAGAGAGGTTCTTTTTTCTTTATTTTTTTGTAAAGACAGATCTGGACACAATCCCAGATTATGCATCAGCCCTATTAATTTAGGCCTCAGCTGGGAAAGTTCTAGAATAAAGACCCCATTATTTACAATGTAGGGGCTCATTATTTTTCTTCCTGGAAAACATCTGTATTTAGTCCTCCTTAGCCCATATTAGATAAAAGCCTGGAGGCAGCATCTGTAGAAACAGGTTTTAGTTACACGGTTGGAGCTGTTATTATAAACCTAGTAGTGGTTTCTTTATATAATAATGATAATAAATCTATTTTCAAAACTATGCATTAGGCATTATGCTAAGCATGCAATAAGTATCATCTTAAGCTCACACAAAAGTGCGATACAAATACTAGTATTAACTTTATTTTAAAATGAGAACGTTGAAGTTTAGCCAGGTTAAATGATTTGCCCAAGGTCATAGAATAGTCACAGAGGCAAGAAATGAATCCAGCGAACAGACCTCATAATTTCTAACGCCCAAGTGCATGCCCTTAGTTTCTCCACTCTATGTAACCTCTCTATGGCTAAGTAGGCATCTTGGGCTAAGAAAAAGAAAATCCGTCACTGACACTTTAAAGTGACATCAATTTGCCCTGGCCAGTTTGGCTCAGCGGTTTGAGCGTTGGCCTGTGGTGCAGAGAGACCAGGGTTCGGTTCCCGCTAAGGGCATGTACCTTGGTTGCAGTTTGTCCCTGGCCCTGGTTGGGTTGTGCGGGTGGCAGCCACTCAATGTGTCCCTTTCACGTTGATGTTTCTCTCTCTCTCCCTCCTGCTCTATCTGAATAAAAAATGGAAAAAATGTCCTCGGGTGAGGATAAAAAAAAAAATTAAAAAAAATAAAAATTTTTTTCTCTATTTTTAGAGAGAGAAAGGGAGAGAAAGAAAGAGACAGAAACACTGATGAGAGAGAACATTGATTGGCCGCCTCCTGCAAACCCCCCACTGGGGATTTGGCCCACAACCTGGACATGTGCCCTGAACAGGAATTGAACCAGCGACCTCTTGGTTCACGGGTCGATGCTCAACCACTAAGCCACACAGGCCAGGCTGAACAGGCCCTTTTGTATGACCAAATTAAACTGTAGTAAAATTCCATTACAGTGGTATCTAATGGACCGAACATATTATTTTCTCAATGACTTATTGGAAAGATTTAAAATTTCTTAGAGAGATTTTTTTCTTTCTTATTAAACTAGTAAGATTTGGGTCATAGGATTTGAGTTCCATTAGCGTTCCATTCGGTGGAGTTCACAGTGCTCTGGAGAAATGATAAATTGACGCCCAAGGGGGATTTCCAGGTAGATAACTGGTTTCGGCTGCTCGAAGCTTGTCCAGCCTTAGATAGTTTCTATTAGAACACTGAACTTCTCCTCTTGTTTAAAGTTCTTACCCCACTGAACTACAGGAAGTATTATTTCGCGCTAGTGATTACTCTTCAAACGTCATCTCTCCGCCCTGGCCAGGTGGTTCAGTTGGTTGAGCAGCATCTCATGCACCAAAAGATCATTGGTTTGATTCCTGGTCGGGAAATACACTCAGGTTGTGGGTTCAATTTCCAGTCAGGAGGCAACTGATCAATGTTTCCCTCTCACATCAATGTTTCCCTCTCTCTCCTTCTCCCTTCCTCTGTCTCTGAAATCAATAAAAACATAATTTCAAACAACAATAATAATTTTAAAACTTCATCTCCCTGATTCCTTCTCAAACCAGATTAATTACTTATCAGCTTTCTTCTATATCATCTATCTATCTATCTATCTATCTATCTATCTATCTATCATCTATCTGTATGTATTTTTACCTAGTTATATATTAACCATCCATCTATCTCCAAGCTACACAATATAACAAAGCCATATATGTGACTATTACTGAAGAAAGGTGATAAATATGATTTGAGATATATATATATATATTTGATAATGAGTACTATATATATTCATTTAGGGTAATGTGGCAGTCATTTAGTTTCTGACAATATCTAGTCTATACCACATATTGAGGAAAGTACATTGAAGATGGGGTGGGAAATTTTATATTTTACATTTGTGATTGTTTTCCACCATAAATTATAGAATTATTCACAGAGTGCTAATAAACATAAAAAAGGTTTTGCAAGGTTTTGCATTGTCCCTAGATCTGGAAAATATAATTATCTTGTGCATGGGGAGTAGGGTGGATAGAACTTGGAGCAGGAGAGAGACACGCTAACGAAATTCTAGTATCTTTCCAAAGTCAGCCTTAGCTTCCATCCCAGTTGCGGTGGTGGTGGTGGTGGTGGGGGTGTTGTTTAGGGACATAGGAAACTTAGTCACAGGATACTATGTGGCTCTCTGATCACTCAAAATAGGTAATTTGATTTCTACGATTGTAGGACATTAAACAATAGTATGAGTTTCCAGCTTGGGAACTTCTGCTATAATAAAGAGTGGTTTAAAGTCTGCAACTACATTTTTCTTCATAGTACCAGGTTCTTAACCATCAAAGATAAATGAACCGCCCTTGCCTTCAGTGCAAGTGAGGGGAAAAAGTACACATTCACACACCCTGGGGGAAGACACAGCGGCTCCTTAGTAGTTCAATTGAGGAGGGAGAGGCTTGTCTGGCGGTTTGTGGGAGTGAATCTAATTATCAGTCTCTTACTTTCATTAATAGGTTGGAGCAAGTTAACTCCTCAAAGGAAAAAGAAGTAGACACTATGCCTGAATGTTTAGACTACATTATGATCATTTAAGCATCACTTACACAAAAATAGTTCTTTGGTTTTTTTGTTTTTGTTTTTAAAAAAAACCCTCATGGAGCTGGGCAGGGGAGCAATAAGAACCGCTATGGAAAAGGCAACAATAACTGGTAAAACATAGTCTACTTATAGATGGGAGGGCAGAGCATTCTGCAAAACTGGAGAGTTCACTTTTTTGAATTTTAATCTACATCTGTGCTGGTCCAGTATGAAGCCTAATCCTCAGGTGAGAACTTGTGCTGTAGTCCATTCGAATTTATTCCTGTAATCCAGATTCATGTCTCCTTTCCCACCCGTGGTCTGGGGATAAAAGTTCACTTGGATGTTGTCTATATGTCTTTTAACCAATATTTTTGTTTTCTTAGCCTTACTAGCCAAAAATCTGATGATGACTATGAAGATTATGCTTCTAACAAAACATGGGTCTTGACACCAAAAGTTCCTGAGGGTGATGTCACCGTTATTTTAAATAACCTCCTAGAAGGGTACGACAATAAACTCCGACCTGATATAGGAGGTATGTTGAAGGCTTTTATAGCGTGTGTAGATAGAAACTCATAAACATGCCTACCACGTTAGAAGAAAACATCAGCATATTTCAAAAACCAGAACGATTTAAACGATAGTTTCACTATATGTTATGAAAATATATAAATATATAAAGAATCTATACATAGCATTCTGGCTTGAGGATAGGAGAGGCATTGGTAGGGGCAATGAGGAGAGATGATTTTGAGTAAGACTTGAGAGCTAGGAATTCAGTTTTTGCTAGATATCCCAGACAAAGGCTAGTGAAGACAAGTGACACAAATTCTCAGTGGCAAATAATAATAGTTATTTACTTAGCACTTCTTAGGGGTGGCAATTTATCATCTAAGCCAAGTTGGGGGTGCTCATTAAAGAAAGCTGTAGTCTCTCATTTTACTCCCCGGACCAGCAGAACGGCTAGGAGTATCCTTCTCATGATCATAGCAAAGAGTGAGAGACAAAGTAGAAGCCCATAAGGCTTTAGTGCTTGTAATTAGAACTAGCACACTCACTTTTATCTATATTCTATTAGCCAAAGCAAGTCAGATACTCAAGCCCAAAGGTCAGAATTAGCCTCATTGAGGTGACAGCAGGTTGTAGATACAGGGAATAGTGAAGAATTCAATCCACCACAGAGAATTAGAGCATGTCATTTTCAAGGAAAGTGGATAAAGATGAGACAAATGTTGAATTGAAGCCCAGAATGATACTATGAACCCTTGTTCATTAAACATGAAATGAAAACAGAGCACACATATTTAGTCATGGATGTAACACTACATGATTTTTAAATCAGTCTTCTTTGACAAATAGGTGTATATTGGGTTTCCGTATGGTTTACTCATGTTATTCGATGAGTCACAGAATCCATGAAGTCAGTGAGGAAGATTGATTTAGTGTTGGCTAGAGGCGTATGTGGATAAAGTGGTCACACAAGGAATTAACAGGTGCAGTTATTCCAAAACAATTCACAATACTTGTTGCTCTTTATATCTACTTCATGTCTTTCACGTACATTTTTCTAGGTCACTAAGTAGTTCTTTTTTCTATATGAGGCAAGTGAGGTTACAATGCCCAAAGAGATTTCAGAGCTTGAAGGAAAAATGGTAAAATCCAGGATATCCAAGAAAAGGAAAAAGGAAACCTTAGTATTTTTTCTTATTTGTTCATCCTTACATAGTCTTGAAAAAATGATCGGTTTCAGAACTCTATTGTGCATAGTGATGGCATTACCATGCTAAATGGAGATACTTCTTTGAAAACAAAGAGTTATTTAAAAGAAGCAAATTAGTCACTGGTACCAAATTAGTTGTAAAGAAACCACTTCTAAAATGGCAAAGTAAATGTATTTCTAGAATAACACAGATTAAAATATTGTGCTTCTCTATATGCAGACAGCTCTGTGATTCTCTTTACAGTGAAACCAACATTGATTCACACAGACATGTATGTGAATAGCATTGGCCCAGTGAATGCTATCAATATGGTAAGTTGCTAATAGTTTGTCTATGTTATTAGCATACTCAAGGGTAGATGTGGTATGATGAAAGGGTATATGCAGTATGATTAACATACTAAAGGGTATACGTGGCATGATGATGAAAACAGCAAAGAATATATATACCAACAAAAAACATCAGAAGGGAGAAAGAATCTTTCAGATCGTTTTTTTCTCTCTTGGCATTAGGAGGAGGATGTTTTAATGATTTATGAATATTAAATGTGCTAAAATGTATAAAATTAATTTGTGTAAAAATGCTAAACTCAAAATTCAACAGTTGCTTACTTAATAAGTACTTCTTACTATAAAATAAAATATGGCACTCCACTACTTTTTAGAATATTGATGGTGTGGAGAAGGCAGAGTTTGCTTCCAATCAGAATTGTTTCTCAGAGGAAATAATTGATTAGATGGAAGAATAAATGTAATTTATTATTGTATAACCTTTTCTATCCAAATCTAAAATAAGAAACTAGATTGGAGTTTATAATAGAATAGAATAGAGGATAACATAACATAAAATATAACATAACATAACATAACATAACATAACATAACATAACATAACATCACAACATACATAGCATAGTAATACTAAAACTTCAAAATGGTGTTTACCAAGCTAGCAATAAGGACACCGTTGAGTCAGATATGAGAAACTTTAACTGCTCTCAGTTGGGGTGATTAAAAAATATACCACCACCTGCATAGTTTGTGAAACTGTTTTCTTGTTTAACCATTAAACAAATGCCAACATGTTTCTTCTTCACAACTAAAAGTCTCGGCATATGTAACATTCTGATGCAAACCGTAACTATCTAAGAAGGCGTAGAACTTCTAACTTCCAGAATGTCAGTCGCCAGAACTGCTGTCCCAGGGTCAGAGTCTATGAAATGCTGGTTTGAATCATCTTAAACTTATTTTTTTAATTTCCCTTATTTACTGGTGTGTGTTTTGCCAAAATGTACATGAGAAATCATTTAATTGCTCTATTTACTGGCACATCACTAATTAGTTGACAGAGAATTTGGCAAGATAGGTTCCTCCCTCATTAGGCGTAGACTGCAAAAGTGGAATTAAATGGTGAACCATGTGGCAGGGCTCACCCGGTGGAAATGTAGTCAGTTACAATGAGACAAGGCAGCCAGAGATGCTAGGAAGTAGCACAGACCCATACGAATGAAGAAAAGTAGTCAGCGTCTAGTCTGATCCTCATGGGCTGTGCATTTTGGGGCAAATAAACCATCTTCCTGTGTTCTTCATCACAAACTGAGGGTGGGTGGAGAAAATTGGACTAGGAAATGTGGATGACTCCCATTCTCAGCTCTCATATTCTAAGAACACTGAAGTTTTAAAAGAATTTTTTTTCTCATTTATAGGCATGATTAAAATCAAATTATAAAATAATGCTAAATAGCACTTAAATATGATAGTCAAACCAGAACCTGGGTGCTCTGAAGCCAGGCCTAACGGTCTGAATTCACATCGTACTCACTTCTCTTTGATTCAAGTCAATCACTCAGCGGCGCATCCCCGAGAGTAATCATTACAGAGTAATGCATCAGCAGAGCACTTTGGCATAGAGATTAGTACAGTATTAAAAATGATTTGTAATTGGTTCATTTCCTCTTGTTTGGAGGAAAAGACAACAACGGTAATTGTTTTTGTTTTTAAAGATTACCTTGTACATTGCATTGGTGTTTGCTACCTGTCAGACACAATGCAAAGCACTGTATGTGTGTTTGCTTTTTCTGACCTCCCACTACCGAACAAGATAGGTTCTCTAGGGGCCCCGGCTGAGGATGGGTTTAAGTAGACTGGACTTTCACTCCGCGGCACCGGTTCTCACCCCAGGTGCTTGTTTCCCTTGAGACATTTAGCAATGTGTAGAGGTATTTTTTAGTTGTCACAACTTGGGGGAGTGAGGTTTGTGTTGGTGCTACTGGAAATGACTGAGTAGAGGCTAGGAGTACTTCTGAGCATCTTACCATACACAAGGCAGCTCCCACAACAGAATATTAGCTTGCCCAAAACAACATGAGCAACTGCTCTAGACATCAAAGGCAAACGATTATATCAGGGCGATAATCTTTTGTCATAATTCATTTAGGACAGTCTTCTTTTTTATTTTATTCATAAAAAATATCAACTCATCTACAAGAGATAGGGAGTCTTCTTAGCAAAGGATTTGCTTTCTTTTGGATATTCAAAGCCAAAGTAGCTCAACATGGCAATGAGAACAAACATGACATACATACTCTACAATATAACCCTGCTGTATTGCAAATGTTACGTTCTACCTTTTTCTTTGTAACAGGAATATACAATTGATATATTTTTTGCCCAAACATGGTATGACAGACGTTTGAAATTTAACAGCACCATCAAAGTCCTCCGATTGAATAGCAACATGGTGGGGAAAATCTGGATTCCAGACACTTTCTTCAGAAATTCAAAAAAGGCGGATGCACACTGGATAACTACCCCCAACAGGATGCTGAGGATTTGGAATGATGGCCGAGTGCTCTACACCTTAAGGTATTCTTTTTGAAGGAAAAAAAAGAGTAATGGCTGGGAATAAAACAAAGATCAACCACACTCTCTTAAGACAAAAAACAAAACAAAACACATACACACAAGAAATTTCAAGCCAACATCAAGATTCACATGTTTGATCAAAGTAGTATGTGGCACTACAAAATTAGTTTTTTTTTCTGTTGTCAATGAGCTTTTTCAAAAGACTAGGAATAGGTAAAACTTACTTTCTATGAATGATGTGAGAACTCTCTTTTTTCTCACAAGCACGGGAAATTTTTCTTGCCTTTGTAAGATCGCCTGATCTTTGCTTCAATCTTGGTTTCTGTGTGTGTGTGTGCTGCTAATTTAAAATGTGGAAACTAAAACATAGTCCTCCTTGGGACCACCGGTTGTTATGCCTGAGAATGTCTCTGTTTCCAAGGAAACTGTTCCAACAGGAGATGTTTTGATGTGGAAGTCTCCCGTATATATTTCTCTTTTTAGCTACACAATGGCAAGTAAATAGAATGAATTTCCTCTCCCAGCACCCGCTCCCCACTATATTGGGAGGCTGTTTGAATTAATTTACTGACTATTTTGAAAAGACGTTTTTTGGAAAAACTTGGAGCTATTTTTTTTTGCTTTCTAAACTTAAATATGAAGTCACATCTGGGAGGTTTTCTACTCATTTTAAGCCATGATCTTAGCACTTTATATTTAGATGTACTTAAATTATTTTTATGCTGAAGTTTTTCATTAGTGAGCACAGATTATTAAACCGCAGAACAGATAAGTAAATAGGCTTAAGGACCAGATAAACCTGGCTTTCGTTCTTAGCTCTATATTGTACTATCAATGTGTATTAGGGCAACTCTCCGAATTTCTTCGTACAGGACTTGGGGGCAGCTTCCAGCTAGCACAGGTCTCAGCACCAGAAGACATGTCTCAATGCTTTATTTGTGTAGTAAGTTTGATATTTTTACTTGGTTACATTTTTTTTTAGAGGAATTAGATGGGAATTGATGGGGATTATTGAGAAAGAAGGCCCAACCAACCCACAACATATCACCCACCCAACTAAGCTAACTCCTACCTTTCATTTCTTTAATTTCTACAAAATAGAGACAATGATTCTTCTCTTACAGAGTTGTTATAAGGACTAAACAAGGTATGTAAAGTGCTTAGACCCTGATATATAGTATGCACAGCAGTTACTAAATTTAGTCATATATATTTTTAGTAAACTACATAAATATGACACTTCTAGGTCTTAGTATCCTGGATCTTTTAGCTTCAGAATGATCCACGCTAACTGTCTTGGTGACAAATACTTTATGCCTTATATAATATTCAACATACAAAATGAAATACTTTAAAATGGCTTCACACCTTTATGTCAGTTAAACAGAATTATATCAGTGACTAGGAAAAATAGCTACAATTATAGAAGAAAGTCACGGCATATATTTTGAATTCACGTGGATTTTATTAAATTAGAGATAAGGTAATAACTGGAATTGGCATCTAGTGAAAATCAAAGTTTGTCTGATAACTCAGAGCTCAGTCTAGCGTTTGAAGTACTAAGTCAGTCACACTATTTCAAGTCCCTTTATGTTCTCATAGCACTGTAGTCATTTTTTTTTTATTACCATTGATTTGCAGAACCACTATACAATATTTAATTATGGAAACCACCTCAAAAATGTCACTCATAAAATCCAATCAAAGTTTGAATGAGTTGCCAGCCTATGCTGAGAGGATTTTATTCTTGCTCTTATCTATAATGAGTTATGAATGTGTGTATGCGTAGATATATATGGATTCATCTATCTTTGTTTCTGCAAAATATCTATATTATTTAATCATTCCAGCTTAATTTGGAAACATAATACAAAAAATATCTAATTTAATTATAATTTCACTTATGAATAAAACTAATATTTTCTTTGAAAGAGCATATAATTATTGGGTGACAATGGAAACACATCATCTTGGGTTCAAATCTCAACTGTGCCACTGGCTTTGTGATTTTGGGCAAGTTCAAGTACAATAAAACCATAATAACGCTTATTAAATGAGAGAAAAATTCACCTTTACCCGTGCCACGTAAATAATTCATGGATCAGTGATTATTAGTTTTACTTTAAGATCAGTAATTGCTCTATTACACTATAAGAAAAAGAAATCTCCCCAATTAGAAAGCATGCTAAACTGCAAGCTCTTTTAAAATAAACAAATGTTCATAAAGTATCATTTTTATTACTTCAATACTGATATCATTGTAAGAAATATAGCTAATGAATATAAAAGTAAAAAAAAAAAAAAATCATCAATCCATCACCAGTACAATTTAGGATATGTTCACACTTCTCCATAGGTGATCAAAATATCTGAACACCCAGAAAACCTGTATGTTTATTTAATAAGTATTCTAGATGTAAACTATCTGAGACTCGTTGGCAGACATATTTCTATGCCTGTGTATGTTTATTTAACATTTCCTGTTTGCCATTAGATATTTTCTACACTATAATACCCTAGTTAACTGTTTCATAGTGTTCTGTTGTAAGAATGTATAATACTCCATTGTGAAATGTAGGTATCTTTAAACTCCCATATAGTAATTTAAAGCTGAACAAGTACTTCCAAACAGAAGGTTCTGCTTTAATTAGCAGATAATATCTGAGAATTATCAGCATTCATTTACATGCAAACAGTAAATGAGCTTACATTCTTAAAACGGTTTGTTCTGTTAAGTTAAATATTATTCATGGAGCAATCTCATGGGGGCAACTCATTTGTCAAAACATGTTGCGTGATCCCAAGTTTTGAAAAACATGAAGTTGGGATTATTGGGAACCTATTGTTTGGTCTGTGAAAATGAACAGACCACAGTAAGTCTTAAATACTTTTCTCCTGAACTTGGCGGATTTCTTCAGTGAAGACCACCTCATGGTATCAGTAAGAATGTGAGATATACTCTCCAGGAATAAAGATAAAGAATGGTCACTAGGGACCTGGCCAGTTTGGCTCAGCGGTTAGAGCGCTGGCCTGCAGTCCAGAGAGACCCGGGTTCGGTTCCCGATAAGGGCATGTACCTTGGTTGCAGTTTGTCCCCGGCCTGGTTGGGTAGTGCGGGTGGCAGCCCCTTGATGTGTCCCTTTCAGGTCGATGTTTCTCTCTCTCTCTGTTCCTCTCTCTCCCTCCCACTCTATCTGAACAAAAAGTGGAAAAATGTCCTCGGGTGAGGATAAAAAAAAAAAAAAAAAAAAAGAATGGTCACTAGGAATTATGCTAATGTACATTTTAAAAACCATGTCCAAATCTTTCTACTTATGTTTCACATCCCTCTATTTAGGCTGACAATTGATGCTGAGTGCCAATTACAGTTGCACAACTTTCCAATGGATGAACACTCCTGCCCCTTGGAGTTCTCCAGTTGTAAGTAATGCTCATCCTGTGCTCTGTACCCCCTCTCACCAATAGTCTAATTGCAATGTCAATTAATTGGGAGATTCACAGAGAATGCAAAATTGCCTTAAGCAATGTTGTTGGCCTTGAAGATTTGACAGTTTCTTTCATCATAACATCAGCTTGTCCCTATTAGAGTGATCATACAGAAAGGGATCTAATGTATCAGAAATGACAAGTTTCTCTGACATATAAACTTTTAATAAATCAGTAGAGGCTGCCTGGAGCTCTTTGTTGAGAAGAATGGTGAAGCTAGGCCTGCACTAGAAGGGTGATGGTGGGTTATATACCCCTCTCCCTCCAGGGACCCAGGAGAAGGGAGTAGCAGTACATTTGCTACTTATTTTCTCCCTTACCTGTCAGGATGCACAGGGACCCAACAGTGTTGTTTGCACATTCCAACTTTGTATACCTGTTAAAGAGAGCAAAATTGATCATTTCCTCCTCCTCCTAGAGTTCTAGTAATATCTAGAAGTAGTTACCCACCAATGAGTAAAAGACTGATTTTTGGCTTTGTATAGGTCTAGTTCAACTTCCCACACTATCACTATAGACTTGAGAAAATTACTAAATCTCCACATCCCCAGGAGCCCAACAGAGATTATAAGACCTGTCCCTGCATAATATTGTTTTATGGATGTAATATATGTAAGTGCTTGGTATGCTACCTCAACACACAAGGTTAAATCAAAAGCTTTATTGTTTGTATTAATTATTGTTATTACTATCAGATAATAGACTGTAGTAAGAAGATGCATGATGAGTCAAACACAAATTACATTAAGCATCATAACCACCACATAGTAAAAACAAGCCTCAGTTTCCCCTACTTGTTCAGCACATGTGTTACGTTGCTCACCTCCTCCTTATTTTTGGTCTGCCAACTGTGCATATCAAGAGTGAAAACTGATTATGAATTCTAAGTTTTTATTTTCATAAATATAATTTCCCATCCAGGGAGTGAGGGAGACTCCTATGGGCCAATGAAATCATAATAACTATACTTAAAAAAAAATCAGTGATGAGAGAAACAATCAGTTGCTTACCATTACATCAATTCCAGAAGGAAAATATCACCGTGTATCATATATACAGGGTAGGGCAAAGTAGGTGTACAGTTGTTTGTATGGAAAATAATATAATAATGAATAAATAATAATACAAGAACAAACTGTTTCACGCCCTCACGACTGTAAACCTCCTTTTGCCCCACCCTATATTTAGAAATGGTTTCATTATAAAACGTATCTCATATGTTTTACTTCATCCAAGAATGGAATATTTTTAAATGGCAGCTTCCCCAAGCTTTAGGAGACTAGACTTATTTTCTTTTAATTGTCCAGTTGGGATTACTCCTCTTCTGAGTCTGCTAAAGCTTAGGAACTGGTGATTTCTGTGCCATCAGGTCAACAATTGACAACTGTCTTCTGAGCCCAAACACAACTTAATATTACTTAACGGTATCAAGGAATTAAATCACAGTTATATTCTCCATAGGAAGACCCTTAATATCATCATTCTTTCCCTCAGTTTTCAACATCCTGCCTCCCCACCCCTGCTCCATAGCAATCGAAGGACCATGTTTCTCTTAATTAATAAATACATAACAGACAGAGAGTTGGACCAAAAGAAAAGAAAATAAGGAAAGGGAAGAAACATACGGGATTTTAATCTAAGTAGCAAATCAGCCTTCATATTCAAGACTTATCTTTTTATAGCGTTATTAGTAGACAAACAGTTGAGATGATTTGTAGTTTTTTTAAATCTCTCCTTTTTAATCCATTTTTTACTTGAGCTTATTGTACAGTTTACTTAATAGTAATAAAGTGTATTAATTAAATAGACATTGACCATCAATTTTATGAAATCAGTATCATAATCACCATGAGGAAACAAATAATTTAGAAAAAAAATTAAGAAACTTGTCTAGAGTATTGGGCTCGGAAGTGGTACTGATAGCTATTGCATTATCAGTATACTACCTCTCAAGAAGGCTTTCCGTCTGAGCCTCTGGAATCTACACTGCTCATTGGAATCTTCCCCTTGATGCTCCACTTACTGCTTTCATTGTAGACGCCTGTGTATATTCAAATGAAGTCCCAACAAATGGAAGAGAAAGAATAATGCAAATAATTGAGGTTGTTTTCTCAACCACCATCAACTGAGTGCATGCTCTATAAAGGAATTAGAGTCTTTTCTTCTCTCTATATTTTCTGTTTCTGCACGACTCTCCAAATCTTGCTCTGGTTGGCTCCCCTTCACCATGAAACAATCTCTTACAGATGTACTATTATTTATACTGGCTACTTATTATATCTTACTCCAGACAATGTAAAGTGCGCATGCAGTGTATATTAAACCATGTACGGTATGCCTGCGATGCAAATTAAGTGACTTTCAAGGGTGATTTTGACCTCATGCTTTTTCAGTCTAACTTCCCATTAGGATGTGATGCCATTGTATTTATTTTCTCTAGGGTGAGGCTTTTTAGTCCAGGATCCTCATTAAGTCATAACTTGATCTCTCTCCATACCTTCCTCAGTGTCTTGTTCCTGGAATGTGGTTGCTACATATGTTCATGTATAATTATCTTAAACGTGTGCTCTCCCATCTCCTGGCAGATGGCTATCCCCGGGAAGAAATCGTCTATCAGTGGAAGCGGAGTTCTGTTGAAGTGGGTGACACCAGATCTTGGAGGCTTTATCAATTTTCATTCGTTGGACTGAGAAACACCACTGACATAGTGAAGACGACTTCTGGTAAGATGCACTGACACAGAACTCAGTGACTCTTTCAGAGCTCAAGGTCTGGTGTATACAATTCAGAAGGCTTTTCAATACCTGTCTACAAGTGATATTTCAGAAAATTGGAAGTGTTTTAATTTACTCGAGTAAATTATAATTTGTATTCTTAATATATATATGTGTGTGTGTGTATTTGAATTTGAAGCAAATTGAACTCGATTTGGATTAGTAAATTATTTGTTAAATTTATTTAAGCAAAAATAAGTAGCAATTATTTAAAAAGAAGAAAATATTTACTAGGCATAGGTGTAATGCTTGTCTTAAGAAATATGTTTTGTAATGTATTGAAATAGAAACATTTAAGAAATCACACAGGCCCTGGCCAGTTTGGCTCAGTGGTTAGAGCGTCGGCCTGCGGTCCGGAGAGACCCGGGTTCGGTTCCCGCTAAGGGCACATACTTCGGTTGCAGTTTGTCCCCGGCCCTGGTTGGTCGTGCGGGTGGCAGCCACTCGATGTGTCCCTTCACATCGATGTTTCTCTCTCTCTCTCCCTTCCTCTCTCTCCCTCCCACTCTATCTGTACAAAAAATGGAAAAATATCCTCAGGTGAGGATAAAAAAAATAAATAAATAAAAAAGAAATCACACAGAAAAAGATGAACTTTTCACAAATGTAGAAAAGTGACCATAGTGAATATGGACTAATTCTCTGCTCAATAATTTTATATTTTGAACTGACTCTATCACTGGACAAATAATAATACAAGTGGGTCTGGGTTCAAATCCCAACTCCATCAATTACTAGCTGTTGATATTGAGACAATTACTGAATTTCTCAGGGCATCAGCTTTACCAGATAACCAATGTGGACTGAGAGGTCTGCATCATAGGCATACTGTGTGTAAGAGGGAAACAAAGTAAAATGCTTAGAATGATATCTGGCATACCATAAATAGTAGCTCTGTCTAATATTAACTATAATTATCAAATGTGCATGACACCTAATGGGGTCAGGACTTCAGATTTCTCAGAAAAAGCTAAGAAGCTATATGTTTGTATTAAACATTATGATTTTAATGGTATTCATTGAATTCATGTAAAAATTAATGTAGGGCAAGTTAAACCTATGTGCAGATTAGATCTATCTCCTGGGTGGCCAGTACGAACCTTCTGCAAAGCTGAGTATATACTGCATTCAGATTACTACAGATATTCCTTTTCGAAGTATGTGAAGATTTAAATAAGTCCCAATTTCAAATATAAACCTTGTGTTCTGAGCTTGCCATCTATTAAGACATGTCTTTCTATGAGTTGAGCTATTTTCTGTTGATTTACTTACACATACCTGACCCTCCATCTCTCCCCTGGAGTTTGTAAGACACCGTTATTTGTTGACTGATTTGGAATAAGGCCTTCCTTTGTCTTTTGTACAAAGAGAAGCAAATTTAGGACCTACACAAAGATGGAAAATTAAGATTCTATTTTCACAAAAATCATCCTCTAATTCAAAGTGCTTTCTGGCCCTAACATTGTTATTGGCATTTGCAGATTTCTCCTTAAAGACTCTTTTATCTTGCAAAAAGAACCCGAAAGAAGGTCAAAGAAATGTTCAAGTATACTGTTTAAAAAGGGGGCCTTCTGCTCCCTTATTCACTGAAAATCCTGACCATCAAGTGCTAGAACAGTGTTTCACTTGATGTCAAAAAAAGATTCAGGATTGCCTTAGAAGTAAAGTCTTCCATCTGTGAAAGGAAGAACATGTGTAAAAATAATCTCCCAGTCTGCATGCTTCCAGAATGAGAAATTGGACATCAAGTTCTGTTATATATTCATATGTCTATAATTATTCCAGCAAAACAAAACCCACAAATTCATGACTAGCCAAGCTTTGGTTCAGTCATTTGAGCCCAGAGTAGCATTAAAACCAAAAGGTGATGAGGGCAGGGTTGTCTTTATATTGCAGGACTTAACGCCATCTCCTTCCCACTGTCTCACATGGAGAAAAATCTAGAGTATTTACTATATCTTCAGAGATACTTCCAAAAGAAAATGAACCACTTACTTAAAGCATGACAAGAAAAAATTCACCACCGTGTCACAAGGCTATTAATCTTCCCAGGGAAATCAAAGCAAGACTGCACTAATATCAGATTTGATATCAGGTAGCATCATCTAATTGATTGCTTCAACTCCTTATGAATTTTAATATGGTAGTGAGCCTTCACATCGGTCTTCCTGTCCAGTCCTGCTGTTGCTGGTTGGTATTTGTGCTCCGTACTGTTCCCATTGCCCCGGTAAGAGGAGGGGTGAAATGAAACTTCACACCGACACTGAGAGGCAGCCTGATTCTTGTGATAGTGGATTTTGTAATGACCGGAATTCTAAGCATGGTCCTTTGTTTGATTCCTGACGCCATTCCTATCTTGAAGTGTAGCTCCCTAATTATCTAAAAATCTATAAAGAAGTTATGTTAACAATTTTCTTGGGAAATTGTAAGACTATATCAAATTTCCAGTCCTTTTTAATCTTAGCCATTATTGGCAATGTGGTTTTCTCCTAGACTTATAATAAATGTATTCCTGCCTGCCGGTGTGGCGCAGTGGATTGAGCGTCATCCCAGGGACTGAGGGTTCTGGCTGGACTCCTGGGTTGCGGGTTTGATCCCCAGTAGAGGGCGTGCAGGAGGCGGTCGATTGATGTTTCTCTCTCACGTGGATGTTTCCATCTCTCTCTCCCTTCCTCTCTCTCTCTCAAAAATCAATAAAAAACATAATTAAAAAATGTATTCCTTTAAGAAGCCTCTGTGGAGCCTGGGTGACAATATTGCTTAAAATGTTACCTCGGTTACTGTAGGGATTCTAACTTCCAGCCGTTCAAGCCCACCCTTCGTAACTTTGCTGCATCCAAGTGATTCTACTGCTGGTTTCTGAGTATTGTTTACTTTATTGATGTATTGTTTTTAGTTTAAAAACTAAATTTCCTACGAGGACCATAATTATAAACCAGACATATCTGGTGTAAATAGAAATTGATATAAATATTTCATCAAAACCAAATGTTCTTAAATTTTAAGTGCATCTGCATTTGTGTTCCCCAGACTCTGAGTATGTTGAAAAAGAAACAGATAGAGAGGCATTAGAGAAATGGGAACGTACAACTAGTACCAAAGTAAAAAAAAAAAAAAATATGTCTATGATGAAAACAGGATGGAGGGAGTATTTCACAGGAAATAATTTTCTCGCCATGTCATGGAATGCTCTCGAACACTCCTTGTATCCACCACTCAGATCATCTTGCCTCCAGTTGGATCTGTATCACACTTGAGAAAAATATTGCCTTGGTGACAGATTGATAAAACTAAAAGAATATCTTCAATCCACAGTCAGTACATCCAAACAGATTCTAGGTCCATGATTTCTCCTCCAAATCATCATGTCTTCCTGACTGTTCTATATCTGGTAATAGTGAGCCAGGCATGAACAAAGAGTCCCATCTCTGCCACCCACCTCTAATGAATCATGAAGGCACTTATGCCTGGGAAATATCTTGTGTAACTGCCCTCTATTCAGTGACAGTGCCCCTGTCCTAGTTCACGATCTTGCCTGTTATCGTCTGGGCTGTGTTGGTGGCCCATCAAGTCATGGCCCTGCTGTCAGGCTCTCTTCTACAGTCTGTCGTTGACACACGGACCATAAAGTTAGCACTTACTGGGCACTAACTACATACACATAGCAGGCATTTTATATCGACGACCTACTTTAATTCTCATAATTAGGGTCATATCCACTAGGACACCAAGGGTGTCACTGTGATGAGGAAACTGAGACTTCCAGGGCTTCATTGACTAATGGGGATTATTCTGGGAGATGGGCTCTAAGGGCAAGAGGATTCATCGCAGACTCAGGCTCTCGGTCACTGCGCAAGTCACGCCCACTGTGGCCCAGTCGTCTTTCTGAAGCACAACTTTCATGTGTCCAGGATTCAATATATTCCATTAAGCACAAACTGTTGTCCCTGATAGGTGAGCACCTGATCTCAGGAACTTCTCAGCGTTGTTTTCCATCATTTCCCAGCATGTGACAAAACGAATCTGTTATGTTTTCCCGAATACAACTTGCCAGTCCCAGGCACACATTGAATCTCCATCTTCTCGCTCTTCTGAATGGTTTCTCCACTCATCCGCATCTTCTTTATGACTCTAAGGTTCGAATAAGCAGCACCCCATCAATGAGGCTTCCACTGACCTTGTCACCAAAGCAAATGCACATCATTGTTTTTAGAATGGGCACTCTTGGAATCAGGCAGCTCACGTTTGAATACTGACTTGTATAAATTATTTAATGTATCTAAGTTCAATATCACTAATATTGCTGGGTTGCTTTGAGGATTAAGTAAGGTACTCCATTAAAATGTTTAAAACTTTAGCACATAGAAAGGGCTCAGTCGATGAAAGGCATTATCATCATCATCTGCATCATTATCTCATGAACCCCTCTCGCAGCATCTGTACCCACCTTACGAAAACATAACTTCTGCCTCGTGTTGCTTGGGCATTCATCTCCTCCTTCTCTGCCTCCTCACTCCAATAAATCTCAAACTTCAAAGTCTTTCAACAATTATCTTGGTGTCTCCGATGCTATTGGCATGGGGCTTGCCTAGAGTTGTTAATTAGTAGGTAATGGCAGAATGGATTGTTTATGACAATTATATTGATAAAACTGTATGCTTTTCCTCAGTCTAATAAGCACTGCAGAATCCGAGTGTGTGTTTTTCCATCTCCGTTTATTCTAAAGCAGAAGACTTTCATGCTCCCCTCTCCTGTTCACCAAATTATCGACCCATTTTTTAGTATCAAGCAGAATTTTGTCCCTTCATGTTTTAAATGTGAACTGTGCGCTAGAAAAGTGGGAAAACTTGTTTCTTAGGGGAACTTATATTCTTGGGATCCAAGAGCCATCATTTTGATTACAAAATCACATACCCCATTCTTCCTGTATTGGAATACCATTTAAACTC